AACCTAATCCGCACTTCAAAGACGCCATAGATGCCAAATTGGACAAGTATAATCTGCGGGATAGGTATAAGGTTATAGTTTGCGGCATTGAAGACAGCGATGTTCTGAGGGAAGAGGGAATCACCGAGGGGAGTTTGGATGCCGTGCTATGCATCCAGGTTCTGTGTGCAGTAAAGGATCCAAAGAATGTGATGAAGGAGGTGTGGAAGCTGCTCAAACCTGGAGGCAAGTTTATATTCTGGGAACACGGATGGAGTAGAAACCGCTTGACGAGTGTAGCGCAAGGTGTGTATCTGCCTTTCTTCTTTTCTGGACTCTATAGGCGCTTGTCTCTAGAATGACGCAGACCGGCTGACATGAAGAAACCTTAGCTTGCTGGAATCCTGCTTGGAGCACATTTGTCGGATGTGATTTGACGCGGAATGTGCTGGCAGACATTCTCAACAGTGGAGAGTGGGAAAATCCACGCGAGGTCCAAGAACCTGAAGAACCGTTTAGTCTGTTGCCTAGGATTCAGGGTGTGCTTGTCAAGAAGGCTTAATGCCTACATCGCCAACATGTAAGAAGACAAAGTAGGGCTACTGCAATACCAGCAGTTTAGACAGTCTAAAAGATAACATTTCCTTTTCAATTCACTGCATAAACCTGTCTATAATATCGCCGATCCGATTTGACAGATTATTAATCTCAAAAGTACTTTGGTCTATCAAGGTCCTCAATTTCAAGTACACAAGAAGTCAAGATGCCCCATATTTCCAGGAAGAGAACACTTCTAGTACTACGAGGGAAGTGCTGAAGATCTTCCACCACCTGGAATGTTCCGGATCGACTAAGGTTGTTCTCGCGTTCAACTCTTTTTTTATTCTCTTGTCAGATGGAATATCTTCACGCAGTTCGATGGTTTTCGGGGTCCTATGGTGTCTAGGTAAACACATTAATTAAGATATTTGAAAGGATATCTAAATGCATTTTGTTGTTCGTCTTCCACATGGAATATGCATATGTCCAGTGTATAATCGCTTTCTACCGCTTGGTGCTGGTGCTATTCTTGAGCATCTCTTCCAAATGCTGCAAGGCAAGTTAGTTATAGGATCTCTGGTAGACACGTGGACAAGTCAAATGCTTACCTGCTTCTGCTCAACTGCTAATTTGCCTTGGGTATCCTGTTTCCGATTAGCGGACGTTGCCCAAACATAGGGCTAGCAACATACGCTAATGATGGTTAAAATCAATGAATAATTGTTGAAGAGGAACCGCTCTCTTCGCTTGGCATCTGTGCCATTACGACTCAATTTGGCCAAAAGAGAATCGAATTCAGCAGTCAACCGGGCCAGGCTGTTAGATACCGGCTCATCATCACCAGCATCGCTGCTGAGCACAAGGATTCCATGTAGAAGCTGTCCGAATCGTTGAGTCAAGAAGTGGGGCGCCGAAGACTGCTTCAAGTCATCTCCGCCTGCAATCGAAAGGGCCGAGACAGCACTGCGACTAGTGTTGGACCCAACTCGTTTGAGTGAGTCGCCATGCTGATCCATAATCACCTGGAAGCGTGGCCAGAGCTGCATATTGGTTCCATTAACATACGAGTCGGCGACGGGCACCTTTCGGCGCTGAAGCTCAAACGCGGAATGTTGGTTGAGGCGAACACACATGAGGACACCCAGAGAATCCGTGGTGTGCTCGATTAACTTCTTAGTCTGGTTTTGGCCAAGGGTAAAGACCGGTTGGAATATTTCCACGGCATTGCGAGAGATTTGATGGAAGGTCTTTGGGGAGAAAAACTCGGTCAGGAAAGAGTACTCGGCGCACACATTGTCCACCAATGCGAGGTTGAAGTTTCGAAACGGCACTTCAATTCCATGGTAAGTATTATCCTCTTCGGCCAGATATGAGGATAAAGCCTGGAGATTGCCAGTTCGGAGGACATCAATACGTCTACCCAAGGAGAAAGGATCATGTACGGCAGAGCCAGCTCGGCCGCCAGGCATCATGTTCCCTGAAATAATCAGTATATAGGGAGCATCAGAGCAGTATATTTCTTACCTGAGCGATGTGTGGATGGGTCGCCTCCAAGCACCTCGTTTCGGTCAGGAGGATAAACCTTGACCTTATCGAGGGCTTGCAGGTAACGTGTGAAATGAGATGTGTAATACCAACGCATTGTGTTGATGTACGCCTGTGATATCTCTCCTGCCAGCTTTGGGTGGACCTTTGAGAGATAACTGTATAGATCTTTAAACTTCACCAGTCGCTGTTGTTGGATAATCTGAGAGTTGATGTTTGGCGATCGCATAGCACGAATTTGTGACACAAGATAATCTCTGATCCTTTGAACTGCCTACATAGATGTCAATGCAGGTCTACATAATCTGAGGGCAGCATACTCACTTTGGTCTTCACATCGGCTAAAAGGGGTCTTACATCCTCGACGGCTTTGTAGCCGTTGGAGGAAGCAGCGGCCTTGGCTTCGATATTTGTTGTTCGAGAATCGATCTCGTTCAATGCACGCACCCAATTCTCATCAATTGGGCCTTCGACAATTGTCCGCACCGCCTTGGGGGAAATGCTGATCTCCTCCACGGCGGGTCCCAGCAGCCGTTCCACATTGCGCCTATTCTCTAGCATCGCGTTCAATTGTGTTGAGCGAGATTGCAAAGTTTCAATCTCTGCCGATACGGCACCCAGTTCATTCTGGAAGTCATTCAAGTACAGCTCAACTGACTTAGACACCTCATCACATCCAGTAATAGATGTATGTAACTCTTCAAACTTATCTCGTTCTTGTTCAAATTGCTGGACGGTTTGCACATTTACATCACTCTCGCGCGTTCTTTTTATTGGTGCTGGATCCTCCTTTTTCAGAAAGTCTTCGAGACTTAGTCCGTCGAAAAGGACAGCTTCCACCAATTGCCCTGGTCGTTCCGGCACCGACGATAGCGGCGGCACATGCTTATCTGTTTGGTTTTTTTCCTTTCCAATGATTTCATTCAAGACTTCCAGCGGATCGGGAACATTGGCCGGTCGAGGTCGTTGAATACTCGTCTGCTTTAAAGGAGAACCATTGGTCGCCCGTGCAGTTCCTGGAAGAGAGGTTGTAGAGTCGTTGGGGGTCAGGAGAAGAGATGTTGACGAGTTTCTAGATGTTACACCAGGGCGACTATTGTAGGGACTTGGAGATAGCTGGGATGATGAGCGTCGCGGTAGAGGAGAAAGGTTGCGGCTATTGGCTCCGGAGGGAGTTGACTGGGCTGAAATGCGGTCGCGCCACATTGTGTAAAGGGATGAACGGCATGGAAATGCAGAACAAAAGCAAGAAATCAAGCGTATACTCGGGGAAATCAACCAAGTAACCTCAACAAGAAGGTCGAACGTTGTAGTTGTTAGGTTGTTTCAGGACACTCGGACGCTCCTCCTATATACACTAAACCCAACAAGGTGGACAACCCTCCTCGACCAATCACCGGCCAGTAAGCGACCCCGCCACAGCGCCCACGATAGATTTTAGTCGTTTGAATTTCTCTCTCCCCTTCTCTTCATTTTTCCCCTCCCCAAATTTTACGAAAAACCCCCCTCTTTCAACCCCTCTACATCTATTCACCATGTCTGCCGAGGAGGTATGTACTTTCTTTTACAAATTCGAGATCCCCCAATGGCTGTCTCGAGGATTTCTGTCCCTGCCCCGCATGCGGCTCCCCTTCTATTCTCTTCTCGAGGGCACGAGGCTATATTGGACTCTCAACCCCGCCCTATTGTCTAATTTGAAGCGCTTGCTAACATAATTCAATATAGCACGATGTCACTTTCGATTCGGCTGATGCCGGAGCCTCGCTCACCTACCCCATGCAGTGTTCTGCTCTGCGCAAGGGTGGCCACGTTGTTATCAAGAACCGCCCCTGCAAGATCATTGACATGTCTACCTCCAAGACTGGCAAGCACGGTCACGCCAAGGTTCACTTGATCGCCACCGATATCTTCACTGCCAAGAAGCTTGAGGATCTCTCCCCCTCCACCCACAACATGGACGTTCCCCACGTTATTCGCAAGGAGTACCAGCTCGTGAGTTCCCCTGATGACTTGACGGTTGAATTGTTGGGTTGACGAATATTAGCTCGATATCACCGAGGACGGCTTCATGTCCCTTATGACCGACAACGGTGACACCAAGGATGATGTCAAGGTCCCCGACAACGAAGTTGGTGAGAAGATCAACCAGATGTTCCTTACCGAGGAGAAGGAGTGCAGTAAGTTCCAAACATATCCAAACTTCCTCGGGACTTATCACTGATATGTGCCATTAGACGTCGTCGTCCTGACTGCCATGGGCGAGGAGGCCGCTATGGAGTGCAAGGAGGCTCCCAAGTCTGGTTAAATTTAATACATGGATTTATTACCTGTTATGCCAGCCTTTATGTTCCACGAGGGTTCAAAGCCCGCCAAAAATTTTATCTTTCACGGTTCAAAGGAGGATACGATTCTTTGAATGATTATGCCCATTGCTTCAAGATCTGTCCCCCACATAACCTTGGATGTGGGCTGGACCGAGAATTGCTTTGGTTGGCATAATATGTGTTGTCCAAACAGTTCTGAGTCTCAGCATCTCATGATAGTGTGATGAATAAATACTCAATCTTGCTTGACTGCGCGAGGGCTCTAGTAGACTATGAAGTAGACGAATGAATTTAGAGCTCAATTACACCCCAACCAAAATATACACAAGTGTAACCCCACAAGTAATAAAAAAAAGTACCTACCTAGGGACTAGAAGCTTGCAATTCAATCGTCTGATGTAGTCCACGGATCAATCACAGCGCGCGCATTGCGGGACATGTGGAGCGACAAAAATCGGCGGTCACTGGGAGGCAGAAAAAAAAGTCCCGCGATCTCGATATACCAACCCTTCTTTGTCAAACAAGCATGAACAACTCCCTTGGGGATGGACTACGTTACCCGAGGGGTCTGCGGTCAAGAAGGTTGTCGTGAGACCCGATACTATCTCGACAATGGACTTTGGTATTGTCGGCGCGGTCATTTGCAGGAGGTATGACGTCTATCGGCTTTTCTTTATCCTATCGCTGCATCCAATGTCAGGAAGTACACAGCTAATGGCTATGCGACATGTGTAGGGTGTTCAAGTCGCAGAAGATGCCGCCGATTTTGGAAACCTAGGCAAAACACATCGCGTGAAGAGAGAAACCAGGGAGAAGGTCAGCAAGAGTATGTAATTAGCTGCTTGAGCCTCGTTTTCTCCGCTAACTTTACCAAAAGCACTCCGTGGCCGTCCGGCATACACGCTTTTCTTGCAGATCTACCAGCTTATCCTTTGGAAACAATGTCATGCCTTGGTTCATGAACACGGGTTCCCAGAGGAACTTGAGGTATGTGCATATGTTGCTTCTTGTGTTCAAGGATAAAAGCTCATTATTCATTAGCTTGTTGTCCGCGATCTCTGGGCTCTTCGTCTGCAAGATTTTGAAGCAAGAATCACTGATTCTACTGATGGTGACGACAATGATACGGAATCTGAGGTATTCAGCTCTCAACCCGCAAAAGATGAACCTCGTGATATGAGATTTAAACCAAACTCGAGATATCTCGAATGGCCTCGTCTGATCGATTCCGTTGCACTGTGTTATCTCGCAGCGTTCTTGATGCGACTTCCTGTCTATGTCAGTGATTTCCACGAGTATGTATATTCTTCCCTCCATGCAAGTCTGCTTCCAGGATGCACGCAATACTCACATTCTGCAGCATGATAATGCGGCAAGAAATCCCCTACGTCCGAGTCCTGGCAACTGTCCCCCGAGAAATGAGGGATAGGCTTCCGCCAGAACTGACTGCGATCCTTGAGGTCAATGTGAGTATAGTCTGCCTCCGGAATATTTTCTGGGTTGATTGACTAATTTGACAAAGTCAATACCTAATGCCGAGCGGTTTCATCGCGGCGTCCTGGCAATAGTGTTGTTCTATCAGCGCCGATTTGAATTGGACCTTCCTCCCTTGAATTTGCCCCTGGTCCTTTTCCGGCTCATCAAGAGATTAGCTTTACCAAGTATGAGAGACAGTCCGCCAAATGGTTGCCAGTTTATGTTAGCTAACGAATTTTAGTTGAGATATATGATACAACTATGATTTTGCAAGATCTATTAGGCTTCACACTTCAGTATCCGACAACAAGTTCATCCGATGGCCGAAAAACAGCACGTCTTCTTCCTGACTTGCAATTGATGGTGCTGATTATCGTTTCTACGAAACTACTTTTCCCAATCGATGATTTGAAAAGGTATCCCAACACAGATCAAGAGCCCGCTGTGCAGGTCATGGACTGGGCCCTCTGGGCACGCGCCCATAACCACTTCGATCGTGATCGGGGATTTGGGGGAAATATTGGAAAAAAGACTGCCATTCAGATCACAGACCAAGACGTGTTGAACATGACGTCTGCCCAATTAGACGATTACATGGACTGGTACCAAAGCAATTGGCTCGATACTTCTAAGGAACCCAGTCGCATTGCCGCGATGTTTCCCATCAGCCGGGCAGAACGAGATACCCAACCAACCTCTAGCGCTGTCCCAGAATCATCCTCTGCTTGTATCACTGCCCCTGCCTCTGTCCCTGTCCCTGCTACTGGTGCTCCTCCTGATAAGACTCGAGAGAAGCTTGAACTTTTGCTACAAACAGTCATGCAAGCCGTTAGAACCAGAAGGGTCATCCCTGACGACAAAGAGGCTGATCACGGGCGTCCCGGCGAGTGGTATCACCGGTATCGATGGGAATCACATCTCAGTGGTCCCGCACGGACTTTTTATGAGGTAGCAGCCCAGCTCGCTGCGGTCCAATTGAAAACACTTGTCCGTGCTGTCACATTTGTTGAATTCAAGATTTCACAGCAAGATGAAGAGCGACAGAACAGAGAGTACTTCGCTAATTTGGGAAGACAAGGAATGCACACCGGGGAAAACGATGTTGGCCACACGTATGGCATGGCTGATTTTGAAGAGGACATGTACGAGGCGGGGTCCGAGGATATAGACGGTGATGAAATTTTATTGTAATCATATACACGGCGCTGGGCCTTCGGGATCATGTATCTGGCGTTCACCTTTGTACAACCTTTTGTCTCTACCTAGTTCAATTACTTGATTTCCTAAGGTTTCTGTGAACGAGTGTCTTTTCTCGACGCATTGATAGTTCCAGCTGAGGTGGTAATCGAAGGATTTGTTTATTCGATCAGGAAATACCATTGAGAACAGAAAACACGCTTCATTTATAGTGATCTACTATACTTGACGTAGATGCACTGCCAAGTTATCATTGGCTGGTCGGCCGGGCTGCTTACATAACGTATGACGAAAACGGGCAACAACTAGGGCTTAGGGTACCCCGGTCGGTCCACCTTTGCTAAGCGAGCGAAATCCTCAAATTGACAATCGACAGCTCCGCCTGGAACACAGCGACCGACAGCCGACAACAACGAGAACTCGCAACCAGTACGTCCCATAAACCTCGTGAAACAGCGTCTATGCATCGCTATGGATTCAGTGAGCTAACATCGTCTTTTTCCGCGCCGTTTCAGTGCAGATGTAGGTCTTTCTGAACCCTTAAATGTCATCGCGAACCACAATCCCGATCCCATCGCCGATACGACCCAAACCCATGGAGGAAAAATGAATATGGGCTAATACGGTGCGATGTAGTTTCGTCAAGACCCTGACGGGTAAGACCATTACCCTCGATGTCGAGTCGAGCGACACCATCGACAACGTCAAGACCAAGATCCAGGACAAGGAGGGCATTCCCCCTGACCAACAGCGTCTGATCTTCGCCGGCAAGCAGCTCGAGGATGGCCGCACCCTGAGCGACTACAACATCCAGAAGGTAGGAACCGGAATTCAACTTATGTGATTTGGACCGAAAGCGGGAGGCATTGTGGTATCTCGGGTGGATCAGATTTCCAACATGTTCTTTGTTCAGAGATAAACTCTGCCCACGGATACGCAAGAGGAGGAATCATCGCTTTGCGTTATGGTCTATGGTCTGCGAAATGGTGGAACATTCGCTAACATGCGGTATCAACTCGTTATAGGAGTCCACCCTTCACCTTGTCCTGCGTCTCCGTGGTGGTATCATTGAGCCTTCCCTCAAGGCCCTTGCCTCCAAGTTCAACTGCGACAAGGCCATCTGCCGCAAGTGCTACGTACGTTTACCCCGCCTTCTCCGCCTGCGCCAGATGATCGTCATGAAGAAATCGCCTTTAGTGGCAAGGCCATGAATTCCATGTACTAACTCGAACCTATTACAGGCTCGTCTTCCTCCCCGTGCCACCAACTGCCGCAAGAAGAAGTGCGGACACACCAACCAGCTCCGCCCCAAGAAGAAGCTCAAGTAAACGACTCGCCCCTTGGTCTTGTGCTCGGCGTGCTGTTCCAGAGATGGGGATTGGCTGGACTGCTACATGGAGAGGATTACAAATGGCGTTAGATATGATGATAAAATCAATGCAGCCACCGTCATACTTTTTCTAGTTGACTCCTCTCGACGACCAAGTTGCACTCCATGAAATGAAATGTGTAAAATTCAAAAAGTCGAATTGCTTCACATCTCCAAATTCCGTCCGCGATAAATAAAGAGTACAATACATGCATGCGTTCAATAACACGACTAGGAAAACTGGTACCTGAGCAAGAATTGACGGAATGGCCAGTATTCCAGATGAAAAGCCAATGATCCATCCTCCCTCGCTTATGCCCGGAACATCATCCCTTTCGTGTCGTCCTTGTCATCATTGGGGTCTTTGTCCTTGTTGTTCTTCTTTGAAACCGGGCTCCCGTGACTAGTAGATATGTTAGCTCAAGGTCAATTTGTTTGTCAGACAAGGACACTACTTACGCAAAGAAAAGCACCTTGATAGCAATAGCCAGTGCCGCATGTAGCACAACAACCAAGACCAAGAGGATCTTGCTAGCCTTGGCATCAGTAGCATTCAAGACCGGATACAAGTTCCGCAGAAGGAAGAAGACACTCCAAGCAAAGCCAACGCCAACAAGCGCCCAGTTCAGCGCAGTCAACGGACTCCAGCTGACCAGCGCAACGGCAATCCAGACCAAGTTAGAGTATCCATATAAAGCCCAGCACTCAATAAGGTCAGCCGTCGAGCTGCCGAACCAACGCAGCGCACCCCACAGGGCAATAGGCAAAATGCCGGTGTACCCATAGACCAGACCAGCCGCGCCCGATAGCAACGTGAAGTCGTACTCGAAGTGCTTGTCATCATTGTTCGACAGCCATTGCGAGATAGTACCTGTCAAAAACAGGATAACCACCACCGTAGTCGCGATCCAGATCGGCCCGTACAGGTCTGCGTTACCCTCTAGCACATCGAGGAAGTTGGTGCGCGGATACACCGTTGCCACACAGCGGCGGAAGACTTCATTCGTGTCGACATCGAAGAATTGCTCGTAGTAATGCAGCGACCACCAGCTGTATTTGGCCGGCGTACCGCCAGGGGACCGGTCACGGCGGCGCGATGGCCCGCCACCCAGGAACGGGGCGGAGTCGCCTTGGACTTTGGCGGTTCTTTGGTCGTTTTCAAAGTCTAAGTAGGATTACTTAGTTAGAGAATCGGGCTGGGCCGGTTCGCTTGGTGGAACTCACTGGAGGGGTGGAATTCGAGGTCTTCTTGCAGGTCGGTATGGCCAAGGTCGCCCTGCTGATTTGTTAGACGAAATGGTGTGTTGTTCATCACAGCGCTCTTACCTCTGCATCCACATCTACTACGACATCGTAGCCTCGGTTCGCCATTGTAGTTAGTTTTGAGGTAAGCTGTTGGAAGGGGAGTTGTTAAGTGTACACATCAGCTTCCGCAGATAAAGCCACCGCTCAAGCCACAACTGTGGATACCAGATCATACACGAGTATGTAGCGAATATATATTATTTGCTATAAATTGACTGAGTTCTTTCACTATATGTAAATTCTGAAGTTGCGATCCTCAGATATAAGGTTTTTTATTTTGTTTCTGTCACTTTTTCTCATTATTATACACATGCAATAGCACTAAGCATCCGCGATATCTGACACGTTGGCTTGAGATTAAATCCAGTTTCGGATTGCCCTCTGAATTCGGCCAACATAAGACCAAATCGAGGTGTCGAGTCCCTTTTTGCGGATATAGAAAGATGCAGCTCCAACCAAGATAGCCAGTACCACAGAACCCACAGAGCGACGGTGGCTCCATAAGAAATCCATAGCTCGTTTCCTGCGTTCTTCGGCCCGAATCTGTTGGGATTGCTTTTCAAAAAAGTACATCGCGTCTTCTGGGGTGTACTTGCGATGTGGGTCTCGTGAAGTCTTGAGCACGCTACACCAGGGAATATGTTTCCAGGCTCCAAGCGGCAGGGATTCCGGCGGGTGGTTATCAAAGAGCCGAGCCGCATGCAGAATGTGTCCATCAAGATCAAGTGGGCATGGCAGCTTAGAAAGCATAAAATGAAGCATCTCGGGTTCATACACTGGGATTGCCAGCAACTCTTTTTTCCTAGACAGGATCATTGCTGCGAAGAGGTAAATTGCAACCACAGGTTCGCGAGCTAAAACAAAGTCGAAAACTCGTGAGATATTGCTGTACTCTTGAATATCATGGGCGTATAGTGTCAGTGTAGCTGCGAGAGCGAAGAATGGTTCAGTATTGTCAAGGTGTCGTCTTAGCTCAGGGTCTGTTGTTTCGATGATTGCAGGAATGAGATGGAGATGTTTCACGGCTGGAGACAGCGAGGGTAGCATATAGTCACGTATGCGGAAAAGGGATATCTGTGCTACTGCTGGCACGGCCTGCTTTTCGCCTAGTACCAAAAGAAGAACTTGGACTATGTCGTGATATCCTTGGAAATAACAAAGCATAGGGTATTCCCTTAGCACCTGGGTGATCAGGTTTGATAGCTGCTGTTTCTTTTTCAACATCTCCTCCTCGGGAGCTAGACTCCATTAATATCCAAAGTCGTCTTGTATGGAGAGTTTTAATAGCATACCTTTTGGGTAATAGACAAATGATCGGTTGACGTCGAGCTCTACTTGTTCCTCATCGGCATGTCGTAAAAGTTCAGTACTTGGAGCCGTATCAAACTGTCGTATTTGTTCGTCGCAACGTAACAAAATAGGCCCTGTTCACCAGTTAGTTGAGTCTATGTGTATTTTTACCTTCTTTAAACCGGAATATATACTCACAGGCTATCTGTCTCAAGTCATCTTCAAGTAACCCGCCTTCTGAAGTTGCATGCACAGCCAAGGCTTCCACATCGCGCGCTGCACATGCTTTGCGGATGGCTTTTGCCTTTTCTGCTCGAGCCATCTGTTTTGCTGTTGTATCCAATTTGAAGTTGTTTGAGGGTTCCTCTGATGCAGATGTGTCCTCAGAGCTGGGATGACCCGGTTCTTTTCCGGTATCTTCCATTCTTTATGCGCTAAGACGTCCTTCTCAGGAGATCAAGCAGCTAATATGCACACACACCAGAAAATATGAAAGTTATCACTCGGTTTGTTTTTCAATCTAAATGAATAACGTTCAAGTTGTGCGTTTTGGATTTGGCTCAATAACATTGAGAGGTCAATCGGATATAGATCGACCGGAGCCTTTTCACTGGACAACGAAACGACGTGTCCAAAGCAACGACTTAATGCCAAATATGTGAGAAAAGGCTTTACCTTTAACAGTTAAGGTCCCTTTGAACGTGAACTGATGAATGTCTAGGCATGTATACCCAGACGTGGAAAGTCTGAAGTCAAAGGCGGCGGAGTCCCGCTTGGCGGCCTTAGGCATCCATCGGCAGCCGCGACATGTTTTCCCCGATAACAACATTCGCTCAGTGTTAGGCTTAGGCACAACGCTCCGGTTTATGCTTTTCGGTACTCATCGCAAGATCTCGGACACATATATTTGTGTACCGTGTTGTGCGCCCTTAGAAGCCCACAGTCTCTGGGGTTCCGACAGCTCACCAACGGGCGGTCATTGCATATCTCCGGGATTGGCTTGCTCTGCTAGTGACAGTGTTAGCTCTGT